AGTCCGGGGGGGGGGGGTAGAGTCTACTCTCATTTTAGAAAGGAGAATCTAACCTCTAAGGGTCTTTCGTTTTGGTTCCCCTCCGTCTCCACTCGGCGGTGAACCTGTCTGGTCCATCTGGCTGGTCCTGGAACATCCCCCTCCTCCTCCCCCCCTCCCCCCTCCTCGTCCTCCTCCTCCTTCTCCTCCTCCTCCTTCTCCTCCTCCCCTTTGTACCACCACTACTACAACTACGACTGCGACGATTACGACTACTATTATTTTTGCTACTACTACTACTACTACTACTACTACTACTACTCCTGCTGCTGCTGCTGCTACTACTACTACTACTACTGCTGCTGCTGCTGCTGCTACTACTACTACGACGACTACTACTACTACTACTACTACTGCTGCTGCTGCTGCTGCTGCTGCTGCTGCTGCTGCTGCTGCTGCTACTTTGATTGCTATCGCTACTGCTGCTGTGCTACTACGACGACGACGACGACTACGACGACGACGACGACTGCGACCACGACTACGGCTATGATTGTGACTGCGACTACGACGGCGACTACGACTGCGACTACGACTACTACTCTTAATATTAGGACTACTACTACTACTACTACTACTACCACTACTACTACTCCTACTACTACTGCTACTACTACTACCACTACTACTACCGCTACTACTACTACTACTACTCCTACTACTACTACTACTACTACTGCTACTACGACTACGACTGCGACTACGACTACTAACACTACTACAGCTACCACTACCACTACTACTTCTACTACGACTACTACCACCACTAAATACTACGACTACTACTTGTGCTACTACTACCACTGCTACTACTACTTCGGATACTACTACGACTACTGCTATCCTGCTATGGCTACCATTGCCGCTACGATTGTGACTACGATCACGACGACGACTACTACTACTACTACTACTACTACTATGACTGCCACTTCGATTATTATTTCTACAACTACGACTTCTATTACTACTGCTACTACTACTGCGGCTACTAATACACATATCAATATTATTACTACGAGTACTACTAATGCTATTACGACCACTACTACGACTCCAAATCCTGCCGCAGCGGCTATTCTATTTTTAACTGATAATACGCAAGTTATCTATTTGTTTACTATGAGAATGGCGATTCCTATTTCTTGTCTAAGTGCTGTAGTTTACCCACCAATGCCATTAGCATTACCTTTACCAATACCTGTATCATTACCATTACCATTGCCATTACCATTGCCATTGCCATTACCATTACCATTACCATTGCCATTACCCTTACCTGTATCATTACCATTACCATTACCATTACCATTACAACTATCATTATCAATACCCTGCCCATGCGCATGGCAATCACCATAACCATTACCAGTACCAGTACCAGTGCCATTGCCATTGCCATTAACATTACCATTACCATTGCCATTGCCATTGCCATTACCATTACTAACACAACTAACAGCAACAACAACAACTACTAATACTACGAGGATATCGACGACGACGACTACTACTAGTACTACAACTACTACTACTACCACCACTGATACTACATTTACTACTACTACCACTCTTTCTCCTAAGGAGGCGGGTGATGAGGAGGAGGAAGAGGAGGAGGAGGAGGAGGAGGAGGAGGAGGAGGAGGAGAAGGAGGAGAAGAACCGAAGGCGGAGGATTAGGCCAGTGCCTTCATATTATTAGTTGACGTAGGTGAGGGGGGGTCGATACCGGACCAGTCTGGCTGGGACCGCATGAGTTCATGGTTAGAATGTGCGATGGGGCATATCCATATGTACATTGCACATTCCCAGGGGCAGCGGATAATCTCGGGGGGGGGGCTAGATCCTATATGTAGTGCAATCTCTGTGGTGCAAGATATGTCGGACGGGCGCCGAGGCGCATCGTACTAGTAGATCTTTCTGCGCCCAATCACGAATGCCTGCACGCAACGGGCGGCAGCGATCCCGTCTCTCCACAGGGGGGCCCACCGAGACTGACGAGAGGGAGGCCGCCGACGGAGCTGCCGCTCCTGCCCCTCGAGCCTTTGGAGTGGGAACGGGAGGTGATTCCATCTGAAGCCAAAGTGGCTGCGGGATGAAGAGAAGGTGGACGAAAAGGAGGAGGAGGAGCAGGAGGAGGAGGGGGGGGAGGGGGAGCAGGAGGAGGAGGATGAGGAGGAGGAAGAGAAGCGAGGAGGGAGTAGGAAGAGCATGATGATCACGAGGAAGAGAAACAGCAAGGAGCAGGAGGAGGAGGGGGGAGGAGAACGGAGAAGGAGTTGAGATTAGGAGGAGGAGGACGAGGAAGAGGAGGAGGAGGAGGAAGAGAGGGAGGGGGAGGTGGAGGAGGAGGAAATGGAGGAAATGAAGAGAGTAGGGAACCGGATGACGATGATGATCATGATGATGCTGATGATGATGATGATGGTCATAATGATGATGATGATGACGATGATGATGATGATGATGATGCTGATGATGTTAATGCTGGTGATGACGATGGTGATGTTAATTATGACGATGATGCTGGTGATGATGCTGGTGATGGTAATGATGGTAATGATGATGCTGATGATCACGATGCTGATGATGATAATGATGTTTCAAGTGGTAATAATGGGGATGCCGGTGGCTGTGACTATGGTGATGATGATGATGATGATGATGATGATGATGATGATGATGATGATGGTCATGCTGTTTGAGATGATGGTGAAGCTGTTGACGAAGAAGTATGATGACGATGCTGATGATGGTGATACTGATTTTGATGATAAGCTGTGAAGAGATGGTGCTGGTGCTGGTTATGGTGATGCTGACGCTGAGGATGGAGGTGGTTGTGAAGATGCCGATGATGATGCTGATGATGCTGATGATGGTGATGCGATTGGGGATGATCGTGATGCTGGTTATGATGGGGTTTGTTGGTGGCGATGATGCTGATGATGAGCTGTGAAAAGATGATGATGGCGCTAGTGATGATGATGATGATGAGGATGAGTATGAGATGAGGATGATAGGATGATGAGGATGATGATGAGCATGATGAGGGTGATGCAGATGATAGTGAGGATGAGGATGAGGATGCTGATGATAATGCTGATGATGCTGCTGATGATGACGATGATAATGTTGATGATGATGATGTTGATGCTCATGATGGTGATGGTGATGATGATGACGCTGATGGCGATGATGATGGTGATTATGATGCTGTTGGTGCCAATGATGGTGATGAGGATGGCGGTGGATGTGACAATGGTGATGATGACGACGATGATGATGATCATGGTGATACTGTTGGGGATGATGGTGATGCTGTTGATGCTGATTCGTGATGGTGGTCATACTGCTGGTGATGATGATGGTGATGACGATGATGATGATGATGCTGATGATGACGATAATGCTGATCATGCTGATGATGATGACGATTCTGATGTTCATTATGCTGGTGATGATTATGAAGAGGATGAGGATGGTGATGATGATGATGGCACACCGGGTGATAATGAGGATGAGGATGAGAAGATGGGTGATGTTCGTGATGAGAATGACGATGGTGATGATGTTGATGCTGAGGATGATGACGATGCTGCTGATGATGTTGATGATGATGATGATGACGATGATGAGCCTGATTATGGTGGTGATGAGGATGATGATGATTATGATGGTGATGATGATTATGATTACGATGATGATGACGACGATGATGATTATATGATGATGAGGAGGATGATGATGATGCTGATCATGATGATGATGATGATGATGATGATGATGGCGGTGGTTGTGGTGATGATGATGATAATGATGATGATGATGTTGATGATGCTGCTGCTGCTGATGATGATGATGATCATGATGATGATGATGATGATGATGATGATGATGATGATGATGATGATGATGATGATGATGATGCTGATGATGATGATGATGATGATGATGATGATGATGATGATGATGATGATGATGATGACGAAGAGGAGGAGGTTGAGGAGGACGACTAGCAGGACGGAGGAGGAAGAGGAGGAGGAGGAGGAGGAGGAGGAGGACGATGGGTAGAAGAGGTTGAGGAGGAGGAGGGATTAGGAGAGAGAAGGAGGAGAAGGAGCAGGAGGAGGAGGGGGAGGAAGAAGAGGAGGGGGAGGAGAAATAGGAGGAACAGGAAGGGGAGGAGAAGGAGGAGCTGGATGGTGTAGGAAGAGGAGGCGAAGGTGGAAGCAGAAGAAGTAGGAGGAAGGATGAGTAGGAGGAAGAAGGGGGGACGGAGGAGGAGGTGGAGGAGAAGGAGGAGGAGAAGGAGGAGGAGGAGGCGATGGAGAAGGAAGGAGGAGGTGGAACATACCGGACTGAACGGGACAGACTGGCATGGAAGGGCCCACTAGGGAGGAAGACGCGGGCAAGGGGGGGGATTCTGAAGTGAAGAAGGGGGCGGAGGAGGAGGAGAAGGAGGGAGGAGGACGAGGAGGGAGGAAAGGAGTGAGGAGGGAGGAAGACCAGGAGGGAGGATGATGATGATGAGGAGGATGAGTAGTAGTACTAGGAGGTGGAGTAGGAGGGGAAGGAGGAGGAGGAGGAGGAGGAGGAGGAGGAGGAGGAGGAGGGGACCGGAGCGGAAAGGCAGCAGATGCCCCCTGCAGGACCTGAGTTTTTCTTGAGGGGCAATCTGAAATGCCAGTTTGGGTGGAACGCCCAGCTTCCAGCCAGTATCTGTGCGGATTGCTTGCTGTTGCTGAGTTTTCCACCCGATGCGGAAGCGAAGACAATTGGTGCGATTGTATTGTCGTTGATCTCCCATCCAAGTGGAGACAATTACAGCCGTCGAGATAACGACCGCGATAGGCACAAACAACATAGCATAAACAGTTTGGCTTAAACCATTGTGATTCAAGTTCAAGTTTTTGGCCCAAGAGTTCGGATCTAGCCTCTGATTATGATTCAATATCGCCTTCGATGTTCGACATCCAGCGGGGGTCTCGACCAAGCGTGTATATCCCCGAGGCGGCCACAACGGCGCGCGGGAGGATAGAGAAGTGGAGTGCAGCGTTGCAATCGCTCCGCGAGGCATCCCGACAATCTGCGAACATCAGCCCAGGCAAGTACATTTCGACTGCCACAGCGTGTGTCAAAGGCCAGCAATGGCAATGGGCGCTGTCGCTGCTCAGTGAGCTGGTTGTTGCTAATGTGGAGCCCACTGTCATCAGCTATAGCACAGGGATAAGCGCTTGCGTCAAGGGCGACCAGTGGCAGCGGGCTTTGGAGCTGCTCAGCGAGATGCGGAGTGCAAAGCTAGAGCCCGACGTCCTCATATACAACGCTGGGTTCAGTGCCTGCAAGAAGGGGCAGTGGTGGCAGCGGGCTTTGGCGCTGCTCAGCGAGATGCGGGAGGCGAAGCTGGAGCCTGACGTCATCTCCCTCCCGAAGCACGTGCCAGAAGGGCGCGGACCCCAAAGCACCAAGTTCGTCCTGGCGTGCTTCCCTTAGACGGCCCAAGCTAGTCCGAGACGCCTCCAGACGGTCCAAGAGGTCGCCGACATTGCCAAGGCTGAGACCGCCAGCAGGCCCTTCAGAGCCTCCCAGAAGCCTCAGGAGTCCTCCAGGATGCCCGAGCCAGGCCCCAGGAGGGCCCGAAGAGGCCCCAGTGAACCCCAACCACCGCCCCGAAGAGGCCTCCGAGGGAAGATCCCTTCGAGCGACCCACGAGGAGATCAGATGTTCGGCCACGCGCGCCTAGGCCATTGAGACATGCGTGTGCCGGCCTCTTCTCATACAGTCGGGCCGCTGAAAGAAGGAACGCTAAATACGGAGCGAAGCCCCTTCTTGGCCCTGTAAGCGCCTCCGTGCCCCAGGAGGGCCAGAGGAACAGCACTGGAGGAACCTAAGGAACATCGAGCCCCTTCCGAAGCCCAACTCTTCCTTATTTCAGCGTCTTGACTGTACCTTCCTTCTCGCGTGTTGCTCCTCGCTCCACGCTCCTCTCTCCTCCCCGCTCTCTCCTCTGCTCAGCCCTCCTCGCTCCTTCACCTCCCCCCTCGCTGCTTCACCCTGCTACTCAGCCCTCCTCGCTCCTTCACCTCCCTCCTGGCCCCTCGCTTCTCCCTCCTGGCTGCTGTCGCCCGCCCTCCCTCCTCTTCGGCTCTCCCCCATCCCTCCTCGCCTCTCTCTCGCCTCGGGCGTCGCTCCTCCCTCCTCGATCTGTGCTTCTCGCTGCCTGCTCCTCGCTTCTCCCCCCTCGACCCTGACCCCTCGCTCCTCGCTCCTCGCACCTCGCTCCACTCAAGAGCTGCAGGTTGCGTCATACAGCCAAGGTGCCAAGAATCAGCACTCTGCAGCCTCGAGCAGCAACAGCGAACACCACCACTCACTTAAGTAACAGTGGCAGCACAGCAACCATGACAGTGGCAGCGCAGCAATCTAAGCAGCAGCAGCAGTACGGCGCAGGCAGCAGCATCCTGCAGCTGCAGGCAGCAACAGCAGAGGCGAATTTCGGGCCCAACGTCGTCACGAAACCTTTTGGCACCATCTCTGCCCTGGCCCAACGTGCAGTCTCGGACAGATTTCATGGCCAGTAGGCCACGGGCCAGCCCTAGCCTGTACTAAAGTTCCGGGCGAAGCGCGTGCGAGTAGCAGAAGCAGTGGCAGCGCCCCAGTCCGCCCAGAGCCCGCGGGCCCCAGGAGGCCCCTGGAGCGCTCGCCGACGGCTCCAGGACCCCACAGATCGCCCCAAGACGGCCTCACAGACGCCCGAGAGGGCCGAAGCCGACCCGACCGGAGCCCCATGACGGCCAAAAAAGGCCTCAGAGACGGCCCCCGAGGACCGCGTGGACGGCGCCAAGGGGAAACTTGTGCGTTGTCCGAAGGTTTCGAGGGTTTTCCTGTTCCCGCCATTTCGGGCCTAAAATGGCCCAGGATGGCCCTGGGGGCTTCCCAGATCGCCCCTGCACGGTCCAAGAGGGCCCAAAGAGGCCCCCCACGGCCCAAGAAGGCTCGCAGATGGCCCAAGAGGGCCCCAAGACGGCCCAAAAGAGCTTCAACTGACCCCCAAGTCAGCCCCAACCAGGCCCCAGATCCCGCCCGGGCGGGCCCAAAGCGACCTCCGAAACGGCCCCAGACCCCCAAGATGGCCCCAAGACGCTCCAAGAAGGGCCCGAGATGCCGCCCAAGAGGGCCCAAAGCGACCTCCGAGACGGCCCGAGACCCCCAAGATGGCCCCAAGACGCCCCAAGAAGCCCCAGACACGGTCTCAGAGGGCCGCAGCCACGGCCTCCGAGCCCCAGGACTTCTCGCCGATTCTGACTCCACCTTCCCATCGACCTTCTCTTCATTCTGGGAACTTCGACACTCCTTAGAAAACATAGGGTTTTCGCTAATCGCGCCCGGCCTTGGCGCGATTAGCGAAAAGCATCACGCCGACTGCGCTCTCGACCCAGGACCAGTTGCCCCGGACACTGCCCGAAGGGCTTCCCTCCATTGCGCCCTGCCCTCCTGCAGGCCTCGGTGACACATGCGCGTTCGGGACCAACGCCTTGACCTGCGGGCCGCGGATGTTTCATGGGTTCACACTAGTCAACTACATGGCAGGGATGAGCGCGTGCGAAAAGTGCGAGCAGTGGCAGCGAGCTTTGGCGCTGTTCTGCGAGGTGCGGGAGGCGAAATTAGAGCCCGACGTCATCATCTACAATGCTGGGGTTAGTGTTTGCCGAAAGAGCGAGCAATGGCAGCGGGCTTTGGCGCTGCTCAGCGAGATGCGGGAGGTCAAGCTGGTGCCCGACATAATCACCTATGGCGCTGTGATCAGCGCGTGCGAGAAGGGCGAGCAGTGGCAGCGGGCTTTGGCGCTGCTCAGCGAGATTCGGGATGTCAAGCTGGTGCCCGACGTCATCACCTATGGCACTGTGATCAGCGCGTGCGAGAAGGGCGAGCAGTGGCAGCGGGCTTTGGCGCTGCTCAGCGAGATGCAGAAGGCGAAGCTGATGCCTGAGCTCTTTCGATTTTCGGCGCACCTTCGATTTTCGGCTTCTTTCGGTTTTCGGCTGTCCTTCGGTTTTCGGCGCGCCTTTGGTTTTCACCCTTTTGGTTTTCGGTGGCCCTTTAGTTTTCGGCGCTCTGTTGGCGCTCCTTCCTGTAGCCAAAAAAGGCGAGCTTCTAAGCCCCCCCTCCCATTAGCCAAAAAGGGGGGAGGGGGGGGCTTCCGGCAGGGGGGGGGGGGCTTCCGGCAGAGGGGGGTCTAAGCCCCCCCCCTTTGGAAATGGGGTGGAGGGGTGGTAGCTTCTAGAGCGCGAATGGGGGGGGGGGGCATAGCTTCCGAGGGGCGGCAAAAAGTGGTGGGTCGAAGGGGGGCTGGGCGGGGTAGCTGAGCCTTTCGGAGGGGGAGGGGGGGGCAGCTTCCGGAGCGCGAAGCGGGGGAAGGGGGGCAGCTTTCGAGGGGGGACAGCAATTTTTTGGGAGAGGGGTGGGGCTTCGGACAGGGCAGGTCCAGGTCGTGGGGGTGGCCAAGGGCCCTCCCCCATTGGGAGCGTGCGACGGGCGCGCTCCCTCCCAGGACGGCTCAGGCAGCCTCCAGGAGGGCTCCCAGGATGCCGAGGGCGGCCTCGGAGAGCTCCCTGACGGCCTCGGCGGGAGCTACATTTTGACCACGGTCCGCCTTAAATCCTTGAGACTCTTGCACGTTCTTCAGACGAGTGTGCGGCGCTGCGGCGACGGCCTCATCGTGAACGCGGCCCGCCCTGAATCCGTGAAGCTCGTGCAAGTTTTTAAAGACGAATTTGCGCGGCGCTACGGCGAGAGCCACATTTTGAAAGCGCCCCGCCCTCCATTTGTGAAACGGTTGCCAATGTGTAGGTTCCTGGATAATAGATAGTGAGGAAGTCTCAGGCGAAACGCTTGGCCCGCCTTTTCGACCGGCCTCGGGGTGCGACAGGGAGGAGCTATTTATAAGTACAAGGAGTGGACGAGGAGGACGAGGAGGAGGAGGAGGAGGAGGACGAGGAGGAGGAGGATAGTGAGGAGCAGGAGAAGCATGCGCGGATGGCAAGGAGGGTGTCTTGCGCCAGCGTTTGGGCCTCTTCCTAGGTCGTTCGCGCCCCCCGGAGGCCGAAGCCCGGGATCTGTTTGGGGCCGTAGCGTTCACGGCCGGAAGAATACCATTGGCCGACAAAGGCCCGAATTCTGGCCCTGGGGCCGAAAACGATTGTCTTCCTTCCCCTTTCTCCTCTTCTTCCTCCTCTTCCTCCAGCTCCGCCCTCTGCTCGGACTCATGCTCTCCCTCCCGTCCGCCACCTGTGAGCCTGCCGGGGACAAATCCGTCCAGCAGGCGAGTCACATCTGCGGTCACAGGCCACTCCCGCCTCCATTTTGGCTGAGGTGACGCATCCAACAAGCGAGCAGCATTTCAGGCCACAGGACATTCACGGGCACGAGGATGGGGAAGAGGAGGAGGATAAATATGAGGAGGTAGATGGGAAGAAAGAGGAGGAGGATGAGTCGGAGGATGAGGAAGAGGAGGAAGAGGAGGACAAGGATGAGGAGGAGGAGGAGGAGGAGGACCAGTGCAAACCCATGGTTCATCAACGATGCTCCCTCTTCATAGGCCTCTACGAGGGTTCATTTTCACTGAGGGCAGTGCCCCGTTGGAAGTCAACAGTTTGAAAGACCTGAGCCATACCAAGGCACCATTCTTGGGACTTCTGCGCCACGAAGCAACATGTCCCGTAGCGTCGTGACGATCCTGAATCGTACCAGAACGCCGTTCCTGGGGGGGCAAACGCCGCGAGTCAACGTAATACTTGTGCCCTGAAAGTCATACATCGTTGAGGCAAACACAATTTCTGGAACGTTAACCATGAAACAGCTTGACGCTCTTGCACATGTGTAGAAGCAGTGTGCACGGCGCGAAGGCGAGAGCCACATTTTGAAAGAGAGCCGCCTTTCATACGTGCATCTCCTACATGTTTTAAAGGAGTGCGCGCAGCGCTAAGGCGAGAGCCTCATCTCGAAAACGACCCGCCCTAATGTTTCAAAACCCGCTCAATGTTTAAGCAAGGAATGTGCGCGGCACTGAGGTGCGCGCCACATTTTGAAGACGGCCCACACTCGACGTGGAACGTTCTTGCAAGTATTGTAACCATTGGTCTGCGGCGCTAAGGCGAGCGCCACATTAGAAATAAAGGTCGCCCTCCATCCGTGAAGCTTTAGCAGCTTTTCTTGACTGACTAACAAACCATGTGCACGGTGCTAAGGTAAGAGCCACATTTTGAAAACGGCCCACCCTCCATTCTTATTCGTCGTGAGTTAAAAAACGAGTGTATTGTACGCGGCGCCAGGGCGAGAGCCACATTTGGAGAAATAACCTCCCTCGATCTGTGAAGCTACTCTTGCTTTTTCAACGACGAGTGATGGCGGCGCTAAGCCGTGAGCATCATTTTGAAAGCGGCCCGCCCTCCATCCGTGAGGCTGAAGTGATCAATGACGGAGAGGAGGTCTCAGGCGAAACGCCCGGCCCGCCCTACCGACACGTCTCGGCGTGCGACAGGGACGAGTTTTCCAAAAGAGGGGGGGGGCTGGAGGAGGAGCAGGAGGAGGAGGAGGAGGAGGAGGAGGAGGAGGAGGAGGAGGAGGAGGAGGAGGAGGAGGAGGAGCAGGAGGAGAATCCAGCGGCACCAGGCAGCAACACCGGTGAGCAGCAGCAGCAGCAGTAGCAGCAGCAGTAGCAGCCCCACAGCAAGACGCGCTGATCCCCCACGAGGGATCCCGCATTCTACTTCGGCCAGACGTCGTGGACGAAGTCCACGGTTCACTCTAGTCAGCTACAACACAGCGATCAGCGCTTGGAAGAAGGGCGAGCAGTGGCAGCGGGCTTTGGCGCTGCTCAGCGACATTCGGAAGGCGAAACTGAAGCCCGACATTAACGACAACACCAACAACACCAACAACAGCACCACCACCAACAACAGCACCACTAACAACAAGACCAACAGCAGCAACAACAACAATCAACAAACATGTATTCTCAAAGGTGTTCTACGCTCTCCCTCATGAAAGGCCCAGAACGGCCCTACACGGCTCCAGGTTCTCCCAGGATGCCCTCACGAGCCCACCAACACGGTCAACGAGGGCCCCAGGACGGCCCAGAACAGGCCTCGGAGAGCTTTACAGAGCTTCACGTTGCCCCTGTCTCCCAAGACGCCCCAGGAGCTGCCCACGAGGGATCAAACAAAATTCCCAGGCGAGAAGTTCAGTAAAAACCTTGTGCTTTCTCATGCTTCCCACACTCTCGCCATGCCGTGCCATGAACGGCCCCCCGACATTTCAGCGACCGCCTCGCGACGGCCCAAGAGACGCCCAAGCTGGCCCAAGACTGACCCCCGACGGCCTCACAGACTTCCAGGTGGCCTCCAGAGACGCCCCAGGGGCTGCCCAATGGGGCCCACGCTGAGCTTCCACGCGGCCCCCGACCTCCACCGTAGTTCCCAGATTGTCAAAGGGGCTCCCAGGACGGCCTCAGAGGGCACACGAGGACCCGGATGACGATCCCACGAGGCCACAAATCAAGCAAAGACTCGACGTTCTCTCATGTTTCTGCACAGCCACCCGCTGACAGGCCAGAAGAACGGCCCCGCGCGGCATCGGGCACTTCTGCGATCGCCCCAAGCCCGGACGGGCGCAGCAAGACGGCTCAACAGGGCGCCACGCCCCCGAAGACCAGTCTCGGACGGCCTGATCGAGCTGCAGGCGGCCCCCCGAGACGCTCCAAGAGCTGCCCACGAGGGCCCCCGCCGAGCTCCGGCACGGGCCCAAGCCTTCGCCGGGGCCCCACGGCGGCCGTGGAGCCCCCCTGCACGGCCTGACAGGGACCCACTGTGGCCCGAGGTGGCCACACAGTGGCCCAAGAGGGCCCCGCGAGCTGTTGGAGACAAAGGATGGCCCACGAGGGCACCCCAGCACGTCTCGAGACCCCGTCCCGACGATTAGGGTTGACAAGGGGGACCTTCTCCTATCTTCTCTGCCTCGGCTTCATCCTTTCGGAGCTGGCTCACCCTCTCTCCGGTGCCGCTCTCCACCTCCTCCTCCTCCTCCGCCTCCTCCTCCTCCGCCTCCTCCTCCACCTTCCGTAGCCGTTTTGGCTCAAAGCGATGACTTTCTCAGGGGAGGAGAAGTGATACCGCTCATCCGCGAAAAGCAAGACTTCTGAAAGTCTGGTAAAGGCTTTTTCGAACCTTGCACAAGGCGTTTGGGGCGGTGGGTAGACGGAGACCTTTTCCGTTCCTGCCGTCCCGAGCTCAACACGCGCAATGTCTGCAAATGGAAGGGGCATCGGTCAGAAAAATGTCGTGTCTGGTCGCGCGGGCGTTCCTGCTCGCTTTGCCTCTCGTACGGAAGCTTCTGCCGACTTATGTGATGACGACAGATCTCGCTCCAGCTGAGCCAACAGTGACGATGAAGATGTCTTGGGTCCATGAGGCTGGGGCACAAACACACACACACACCAAGGGCGTCATCGACAAGAAGCTTGGCATCGAGGTCAAATCTCTCAACGGGGAGCTCACGGAGATGGTTTCGACCACTGCCAAGTCAGCAGCCGGAGACGCGGTCGGCCCCGTCGTGGCTGCCACCGAAGCGGTGGAGGCCGTGGTCCAAGCTGTCCCAAACGTGTGCTAAGGAACACGCGGAGGCAGCCCTCAGACCCGAGATTGATGCGCTCGAGGAGCGCTTCCAAGCTCAGCTCGACACCCTCTCGGTCAAAATGGCAGGTATTGATGGTAGGACAGACTAGATTGCAGCTGAAATGGCCGAAATGCGAATCTCCATGGACGAGATGCGTCTTTAGCTGGCACTTGCCCATCGAGCACCGCCTCCTCCTAAACCGCCCAATGCATGATTTCAACGCGAAGTGGATGGCACCATGCGCAAGATCGTTCGGCCGACTCTTGTCAAGAAAGTTGATGTTGCGTCGTCAATAGGCCAAAGGCTCAAGGATGCGAAGCTTCAAGGCTACCACCTGGTCGACGAGGATCAGGACCGCATCTCCGCGCTGCAGCTCACTGGTGCGGTGGCCGTTGCTCCCACAGACACTGTCTGGAGTAACTCCACCCCTTCCACGGGGGCCGTGGAACGTTGTTGCGTTTGGCGCCGTTGGGGCTAATGTGCGCCAGTGCGGAGTGAAGTCCGTCATCCCCTGCACGTGCCGGGACTGGTGAATGCGTCCCCTCTCGTCGAGCGCGTTCCACTATTCGCAAAGTGCCTACTTGCGAACGTCCGAAAAAAAAACACCTGTCTGCTTTGATGTACTCTATCGTAGATCCCCCGCGGGGAATCCAGGCCATTTGCGAGTAGTTCCTTTGCGAGTAGTGGAACGCGCTCGTCGACCCTCGCGTTCTTCGCCTTTGCGGCCCGGGCAGCCTGCCCAGGGCGCTGGGCGTTGGCCAGTGTGCTGACGTCTGTCGGCGTGCAGGCCAGCTGTGCGTCGGTGGCCGCGGGGGGGTCATTGGCTACGCTGCGCTCGCCCTTTCTTGCTGTTGCGCCGCCTCCCCCTCCAACTCACCGGGCGCGTTCCACTATTCGCAAGGTGCCTACTCGCGAACGTCCGAGAAAAAAACACCTGTCTGCTGTGTTGTAATGTATCGTAGATCCCCTCGGCGGATCCAGGCCATTTGCGAGTAGTTATTTTGTGATTAGTGGAACGCGCTCGTCTACCAACGGAGGGTTGGCGCGCGCCCGTATTAACATCACATACATTTGCAGCTATGTCTGCCGTCGGGGCAAAACCGCGCGCGCGCGCCCGCCCTCCTTCCAGTCGGACGGCCGGCTTCTACACGTCATCCTGCTACAGTAGATCAGCATAACGGACATTGTAGCCATGTCAACCGCAAGGTCTCTTCTCCAATCATAACCTGGGGCCAGTATTGGACCATCTTCAAGCACAGGAAGAACATCATGACTTGCACAAGCCTTTGCCCACGGATATCAATCTTCCTGAATGGTACTCGGTAAAATTCTGCTTTCGTCCGGTGGGGCCTCCCTGCCCCTGTGCTGGGGCGACGTGGTTGCACTCGTAGCAAGGAGAGGCAACTGTCTGTTGTGAAAGGAGGCACGCCCGCGGCACAATGACCAGAGGCGGCCTGGCCACTGACGGAGGCGACACACGTCCGCCCACCACCGCTCCTTGGCGCGGGTTCCTCCTCCTTTTCCGCTTGGCCCCCCTCGAATGGCCCCAACAGGCGCACCAAGACGCCCCAAGAGGGCCCCACGCCCCACAAGACTGGCGCCACAGACGGCTTGATTGAGCTTCCGGTGGCCCCCCGAGACGCCCCAGGACCTGCCCAAGAGGCCCCGACCGATCTCCAACACGGCCCCAGGCCCCCACCAGGGCCTTACGACGGCCGTGGAGGCCCCCTGGACGGCTCGAGAGGGCCCCACTGTGGCGCGAGGTGGCCGCACAATGGCCCAAGAGGGCCACGCAAGTTTTTAGAGACAAGGTATGGCCCACGTCGGCACCGCAGCATGACTCGAGTCCCCTCCCACCGACTAAAGGGTGACAAGGGGGATCTTCTTCTATCTTCCCTGCCTCGGCTTCCTCCTTTGGGAGCCTGCACCCCCCCTCTAAGGTATTGTTTTCTTGCTTTCCCCTCCTCCTCCTCCTCCTCCTCCTCTTTGACGTTGCTCAGCCTTTGGCTACGTGGCTGAAGCGTTCTAACCTTCTCGTCGTCGTCGTCGTCCTCCTCCTCCTCCTTCTCCTCCTCCTTCTCCTCCTCCTCCTCCTCCTCCTCCTCCCCCTCCTCCTCCTTTCCATTTCCTTGTAGGTAACTCTTCCCTGTCGCACCGCGAGGCCACTCGAAAGGGCGGTCCGGGCGTTTCGCCTGAGACTTGCTCACCACTGATGACCCTGATGCTTACGAGTTGACAGCAGCTTCACAGATGGAAGGCGGGTCGTTTTGAAAATAAGGCTCTCGCCGCAGCGCCGCGCACAGTTTTGAAACATTCGGAAGAATTCCGCGGATAGAACTCGGGTGGTTTTCAAAATGTGGCTCTCGCATAAAGGCCGCGCACATTCGTTCCTGATCATTTGCAAAAGTTTCGCAGATTGAGGGCGGCTCGTTTTCAAAATGTGGTTCTCGCTTTAGCGCCGCGCGCAGTTGTTTTACATGTATGCAAGAGCTTCATATCTTGAGGGCGGCTCGTTTTTTAAATGTGGCTTTCGCTGTAGCGCCGCGCACATTCGTCTCACACATTTGCAAGCGCTTCACGGATTGAGGGCGGCTTGTTTTCAAAATGTGGCCCTCGCCCCAGCGCCGCGCGCATTCGTTTTTGTTGTTATATAACATCTGCGGACATTTCACGAAGTGAGGTCGGTTCGTTTCCAAAGTGTGGCTTTCGCGTCATCGCCGCGCTCATTCGTTTTCAGCATTTGCAAGAGTTCCATTTGTTCTTATGGCTCCTTTTTTGGAGCGCTTCAGGATTGTCAGGGTGCAGCACTTAGGTTGATTTGCGGCGTTGAAGTTCAAGGAATTATGTTCTGTGACGAATCCAGATCGCCAAGACGTAACGGTTGCCCAAAAACGGGTCAATTTGTTCAGTGGAAATGGCCCCTTGTAGTGCCCATGAAGAGGGATCTTGGACGGAGCGTGTATTCCGACATCTGTGAAGAGTCTTGCGTTTGCACTGGTCCTCCTCCTCCTCCTCCTCCTCTTTCTCCTCCTTCCTCCTCCTCCTCCTCCTCCTCCCTCTCCTCCTCTTTCTCCTCCTCCTCCTCCTCCTCCTCCTCCTCCTCCTCCTCCTCCTCCTCCTGTGAGACCGGACAGCGAGACTGGACCACGGGCTTTTCGCAGTCGTCGATGCAACGGGGGACCTCCATTGACCACCCCGAAATAGCCCAGAGCCGGCCTCAGGACCTTCCCTTGCAGGTTCGGCACCAAGTTGTTCAACTTCGACGAACTGTTCACCCACGATGTGTCATGCCCATGTTTAGCATACCGTGGTTATAATCCGCGTTTTCATAATAGTCACCTACGCCGTTGAGATGAGCGCTTGCGGGAAGGGTGAGCAGTGGCAGCGGGCTTTGGCGTTGCTCAGCGAGGTGTGGGAAACGAAGCTGGAGCCCGACGTCAGCAGCTACAACGCAGGGATGAGCGCTTGCGAGAAGGGCGAGCAGTGGCAGCGGGCTTTGGCGCTGCTCAGCGAGATGCGAGAGGTGACGCTGGAGCCCAGCGTCATCAGCTACAATGTTGGGGTCAGCGCTTGCGCGAATTGCGAGCAGTGGCGGCGGGCTTTGGCGCTGCTCTGCGAGATGCGGGAGGTGACGTTGGAGCCCGACGTCACTTATACGACATGGTCGGGGGCGGCGCGTGCCATAAGCATGGGGGCTCAACTGGCCCACATCGCCCCCCGTGGGCCCCGGTGGGCTCCGAAACGTTTCAAGAGGTGGCCAACATGGCTTTCAGACTGCCCACCAGCACTCCAAGACGGCCCAGAAGGCCTCTCCAAGAGGCCCCCGTGAGGGCCCCGACAGGCCAAAGTCATTGGTTTTGCTTGTCGGTTTTTCGATGATTTCGACGTTCTCGCCTTTTCAGCCTTCCGACGTTCCACGACGGCCCAAGAGACCACGAGAACTCACAGGTCGCACCAACACGGCCCAGCATACCCCCAAAAGGGCCCTCAGACGGCCCAAGAGGGCCCCAAGACCGCGCAAGTGGTCCCCAAGACGGGCCAAGAGGGCCTCAACATGGGGAGCTCGACCTGCCAGTCCGCCTCCCTCGTCCCAAGATGACCACAAGACTGCCAGCAGGCCCCAAGAGGCCCTGCTGAAGCCACAGGAGGCCCCCAAGAAACAATAATCAGATCCCAAGGGGCCCCCGACAAGCCCCAAGACGCCCCCAGTACCCAGAACCGCCGCCAAGAGGCGTCGGATGAAAGATCCCTTGGAGAGCCCTGGGACCGTGCCAGCCACCCAGATTCGGCACCCAGGGGTTTTCTTTGGAGGAGGAGGAGGAGGACGACGACGAGGAGGAGGAGAAGACGTCGGACGGGGAGGAGCAGGAGGGAGGAGGGAGGAGGAGCATGGAGGAGGATCATGAGGAGGGAGGAGGGGGGAGGAGGAAGACGAGGACGAGGAGGAGGAGGAGGAAGACGAGGAGGACGAGAAGCACGAGGACGAGGAGGAGGAGGAGGAGGAGGACGCTTCGTTGAAACGGTTCCGGTCTGACTGGGCGACCCGTCGTGGAGTTCTCCCCGAGAGTGCTCGGGGGGCCGCCGGCCATCGGGGGCATGCTCCGCAGTGCCTGTTGCCGTCCTCGGAGCCGAGGCAGTTCGCGCGCATTCTCCGACCTCTTCGGACGGCCGCAGCCACGATGGAACATCGTTAAAGAGAAGGCGCGCGCGCTTCGTAATTTCCAGCCTTACTCCTGACACTGCCCCAATGCGGCTCAAGATCGTCCCAGGGCGGCCCAAGACGCCCCCTCTCGCAGCCCCTTTACCCCCAGAAGCCCCAGCCTGGCTCCAAGGTAGTTCAGGAAGCCTCAAAGACGACGTGCGCAGGCCTAGATTCAACCCAGGAGACCCCCATTATAGCGTTCGAAAGCAAGCAGCAGCAACCAGCAGCAGCGAGCAGCAAGCTAGCAAGCCGACCAGCAAGCAAGCAAGCGGCAAGCAACAAGTAAGCCAGCCAGCCAGTAATCAAGCAAACAAACAACAAGCCGCCTCAAACAGGCAACATGTGCGCAAGCAGCACGAGCAGCAAGCGGACCAAATAATCAAGCCGCAGACATTGATTTCTCGAGCCTGCAGCCCCATGTTCTTCCAACTCGACGAAATCACTGAGGATTCGGCCTGAGGGCCCTGGGGGATGGTCTGCCCGGACTGGCCTCTCACTCCCAGACCATCTTTTGACGGCCCCAGGGCCCGAAAGCGGCCCCCAGAGGTTTACAATCAGGAGGGGAAAAAACACACAGACACAATTAATCGTCGATCCCCAGGAAAATATGCGAAAATATGGGAATTGGGGGGGAAGACAAAAACCGAGAAAATATGAGAAAATATGGGGAATCTTTTTATTTGTGTGTATTTATTTGTGTGTTCTGGGGCCCCTTTATACAAGGACGACGTTCCTGAACCTCGACGCTCCTCGCCCGTCTCCCCCTCGGCCGTCGCTCCTCCCCGTCGGGCTCCTCGCTCCTCGCTGACCGCCCGTCGCTTCTCCCCCGTCGCTCTCCTCGATGATCTTGATCCTCTGCTGGCAGCAGGGAGCGTCAGAACGCGGAAGTCGCGGGAGGCATCACCCTGCAGCACCAAGCAGCAGCAGTTGCGAACGGCAGCGGCGCGAAGCAGGCAGCGGCATCGGGAGCGCGCAGCAGCAGCGCGCAGCAGCACGCAGCAGGCAACGGCACGCGCAAAGCAGAACTGGCCATCAGCAGCACCCTGCAGCTACAATCAGCAACAGCACGCAGCAGCGGCAGCAAGCAGCAGCACGCAGTAGCATGTGCGGAATGAGAAGATCGAGCCCCACGTCTTCATGCCATCCTTTCGGCAACATGTCCACTACAGCATGCCAGTTCGTGCAGATTTCTTGGGCGTAGTCCACGGGTCAGCCTTGGTCAGCTACAACGCGGGGGTGAGCGCCTGCGAGAAGGGCGAGGAGTGGCAGCGGGCTTTGGCGCTGCTCAGCGAGATGCGGGAGGTGAAGCTGGAGGCCCAAGTCATCTCTGTTACAATGCAGGGGCTGGTGCGTGTGAGGCGAACGGGGGTCCGACAGGCTTTTTCTGGGCCCCGGCGGCCCCCTGCAAGACCCAGCAGGCCCTTGTGCGCTTCGAGGATGGCCAAAGAGCGCTCCGAGACGCCCCCCGAGGCCCCCAAGAAGGCTCCAAGGGGGCCCGATCGTCCAAGAGAGACTCCAAGGCGCCCAAGATTCCTTCTACACAGCTTCAGGCACCTCCAGAACGTCCCGACGGGGCACCGAGAAGGGCCCCGAGAGGGACCGACCGAGGAAAAATCGTCACAACCCCTAGCGAAAACTTGCATGTTTGTAATTCCCGTACTTTTCGTTTCCGACGGTTCCACGACGGCCGTGCAGGCTCCCAAGATTGCCTCAAGACCCCTCAGGACAGCCGCATGAGGGCCCCAAGACAGCCCAACACAGTATCCGGACGGCTCCTGAGGCGCTCATGACAGCTCAAGAGGCATCCAAGACAGCTTCAAGAGCTGCCCAAGACGGCCCAAGACGGCACCAAGACGATCTTTAGAAGGCTGCAGAGGCGCCCAAGACGGCCTCGGGCGGCCCCAGGACGGCCCCAAGAGCCCCAAGAGGCCCCCAGGAGGCCGAAGACGCCGAAGGGGCGTCGCAGGAGGCGTCCAGGAGGCCGAGAGAAGCTCCGAGAAGCTCCCAAACTGTCCCTAGGAGAAGGCAGCGCGCGCCCTCATGTTTCTACAAGACAAACAAAAAACAGTTTCCAGAGCCTGCGAGCCGTACCCTGGACACGCTTCGCGGCCGCATGCCCTTCTTCGTGGGTGCGGGCGCCCGCCGTCACGCTTCACCCAGGCAACTGGGAAGAACTCACTACCGCTTTCCGGGCGTAGCCCGCCCACGGATCCTCGCCGCACTCAGAGCGCTGCTCTTCTCCGTGGGTGCGGGCGCGAGAGCTCGAAGGCGTGCGCGTATGGCACGGAGCCGCGCCGTGGAGGCGCACCAGGGGGACCTGGAGCTCATGGGCGAAGTCCACGGGTTCGCCGTAGTCTCTACTGCATTGCAGGAACCCGCGCGTGCGAGAAGGGCGGGGGTCGGTCACATCCCTCCGGGCGCCCCCTGCGGCCCCCCGCGAGCCCCGGCTGGCCTCGGCGCGCTTCCAGGAAGGCCCAAGAGCGCCCCGAGAGGACCCCAAGACGCCCCAAGACGGGTCAAGAGGACCTCCGAGATGGTCCAGGAGCGCTCGAAGACGCCCACGATAGCCTCCCGACGGCCCAAGAGGCGCCCAAATTTCTCCACGTGGGCTTCAAGAAGAGCCCCGAGAGAGCCCGAACGAGGAAAAATCCTTCAAATCCTAATGACAAACGCTCATTTTGGCAATTCCCGTGCTTTTCGTTTTCAAAGCGCCCAAGACGACAATACTGTCTCCCTAGATCGTCACAAGAGGGCCTAGGAGGCACCCGGGAGGGCCCCAAGACGGCCCAAGGCGGTCCCAGGACGGTTCCTGAGGCGCTCATGACGGTCCAAGATGCTCCATGACAGCCCCAAGAGGGGCCAAAGATGACCCAAGAGAGCCCCAAGGCGGTCCGAGGACAGCCCCGGAGCCGCCGAAGACGGTCCCAGACGGCCCCAAGACGGCCCAAGGGGCGCCCAAGACGGCCCAAGAGGGCCGCAAGAGGCTCCCAGGAGGCCGCCAGACGGCCCAAGAGGGCCCCAAGAGGTTCTTACAAGGCGGAACAGAAGCCGCGGGGCGCGGCCATACCCACGGAAAATCAGCCCCGACTTCGAGGTTTACTTTCCGACGCCCTGGGGCGAAGCAATCAACCCTCGCCCAGGACGTTCGTCGACTCGCCACGTCCACGGAATGCCAGTACCAACTCTGAAGGTTTCCCCCCATGCTCCAGATGGGGCACAGACGTCTCGCCCGGATGGTTCGGGGATCAACGACGCCAGCGAAAAAGACTCCGTAACCTCGGAGGCCATTCTCCATGGTCCCGCGGTCGGCCAAAAAAACACACCTCAAGACCACTCCGCGGCCCGCCACGTCGACGGAAAATAAGCACTACGCTCGAGATTCATTCTCCGAGGTCCCAGGTGGGCAAAAGGGTTCAAGAGACGTCTTTCGTCAACCTGCGCTTTGGCGCTTACTCTGGAGTTCTGGGTTTCGTTTCTGCGGTGTTCCGTCTCTACCCTCCCAATGGATGACCAGTGGCGCGGCCACACCCACGGAAAAGAAACCCAGATTTGGAGGTTTATTCTCTTGCACAGCTGTGCTCTAGAGCTCGGGCACCTTCATTTTCGTCGTGGTTCGTGGTTCGTGGTGGCTCGTCCCCCTCGGCCTCTCCCCTGAGCCTGAGCCCCAGCTTCCCTGGGCCACCCACCCTTCGGAGGCTTCCCCCTCGGCCCCTCCCCTGAGCCTGAGCCTGAGCCCCAGCTTCCCTGAGCCACCCCCACCTTTGGGAGCCTTCCTCCGTCCAGGGCTTCCCAGGGCAGCCCCCCTGGGCCGCGGACATCCTTATTTTCGTCGTGGCTCGTGGTTCGTCGTGGTTCGTCCCCCTTGGCCCCTCCCCTGAGCCTGAGCCCCAGCTCCCCTGGGCCACCCCCCCTTGGGACCTCCCCTCCGTCCAGGCTTCCCAGTGCAGCCCTCCTGGGCCGCGGAACTCTTTATTTTCGTCGTGGCTCGTGGTGGTTCGTCCCCCTCGGCCCCCCCCTGAGCCTGAGCCCCAACTCCCCTGAGCCACCCACTGGGAGCCTTCCTCCGTCCAGGCTTCCCAGGGCAGCCCCTTCGCAGCTCCTTTGTGCAAGAGCCAGGGCACGCGTGCCACTTGTTTTCCGACGCCCCGGGGCGGAGTCATTAACCCTCGCCCAGGACGTTCGTCGGCTCGCCACGTCCACAGAATGCCAGTACCAACTCTGAAGGTTTCCCCCCATGCTCCAGATGGGGCACAGACGTCTCGCCCGGATCGTTCGTGGATCAACGACGCCAGCGAAAAAGACTCCGTAACCTCGGAGGCCATTCTCCATGGTCCCGCGGTCGGCCAAGAAAACGCCCCCCAAGAACATCCATCGGCCCGCCACGTCGACGGAAAGTAAAAACAACATCGACAGCAAGCAGCAGCACGCAGTAGCATGCGCAGAACGTGAGGTCGGCCCCACAACCAAATGCCAGTTCGTGCAGATATCGTGGACGGAGTCCACGGGTCAGTCCTAACGATGTCGCCGGCCTCCTTCCGGTGCCCACAACCCACGACGACGACCACCATCACCACCACGACAACGCCGCCGACTACGACGGGTACGACGGCGGCCTCGCGGTGGCGACGACAACGACGCCGACGATGACGGCGACGACGGCGGCCCCGCGACGGCTCAGCTGCTGGAGCGCTGCTAGAGCTCGGACACGAAGGCGTGGTCTCGCTGCCGCCGCCTCGGCCGCCGCCGTGCTTATAGGCTTTCGGCAAAATCTCCGCCGTTCCTCCGAGAGCCATTCCAGAAAGGTGTAGTGGACGGAGTCCACGGGTCAGCCCTAGTCTTCTCTATGGCAGACGGAAGCGCGTGCGAAATGGGTAAGCACTGCCCCCCCCCCTGGAGGGCCACTTTTTCGACACCCCTCACGAAGATCCTGGCCCCCGAGCGTCACAAATCGAGCCCTCCGCCCAAAGACGTCCCGCAGTGGCCATAAGAGGCTCCAAGGAGCGTCCAAGAGGCCCCCTAGAGGCCCCCAACAAGGCCCAAGAGGCCTCCAAGAGCCTCCAACAGTCCTCCGAAGCATGCCCCCAGAGGCCAAGCTCCTTTATTATTCCATGGTTTTTGAAGGAGTTTCGCCTTCTCGCCTTCTCGGCTAGCCGACGCTCCAAGACGGCCGAAGAGGCCCACAAGACCGCCCCAGGACGGCCCAACAGGCCTCCAAGCGCGTCTCCAGACGGCCCAGGGAGGCCCAAGATGGCCCAAGAGGCGCCCAAGACGGCCCCAGAGGACCCCAAGCCAGGCCCAAGAGGGGGCCAAAGAACGGGTAAAAACCCTGACACTCCGAGCCCTGGGCCCCCATACGCCCACACAAGGCCCCAAGACACCCCCAAGGGAACGCCAAGAGGTCACCAGAAGCCTCCAAGAAGCCCAAAGCAAGCCCCAAGACGGCCCCCAAGAGGCCCCAGAGCTGCCTCCAAGAGGGACCCCAGTCGCCTCTGAGCCATTATCCAGGCACAGGCACGGTGGCGGATTTCGGAAGGCCATGATGCGTGCCAGAAGGTCCTCTGTCTTGAAATGTCCGCCAGGCTCTCCAGGCCGCCCTGCGAGCCCCCAGGCCGCTTCGAGACGGCTTAGAAACGCCCACGAGAGCGCCCGGACAGACCAAGAGGGACCCGTCCGAGCCCCAGGTCGGCCCCAGAGGCCTCCAAGGCAGGCCAGGAGGCTCTCAAGGCGGCCCAGGAGGACCCCCAGGAGGGACCCAAGAGGCAACAATTGGCCATTTCCCTTCGGAAAACGTGCATTTTTGAGATGCTCGCTCTTTTCGTCTTCACCGCGTCCAAGGCGGCTATACAGGCCTTTCCGATCGCCCCAAGACGCCCCCAGAGCACCCCAGGAAGGCCTCCAAACTGCCCGAGGCGGGCCCGCGACGGCTCCAGAGACGCCCAAGACGGCCCAAGAGGCAACCAAGACAGCCCAAAGAGCGGTCAATAACGGCCCAAGACGGCCCCAAGACGGTCCGAGCTGCGCCCAAGACGGCCCCACACGGCCCCAAGACGGCCCAAGAGGCACTTAAGACGGCCCAAGAGGGACCCAAGGGATTCCCGGGAGGCCGGAAAGAGGCCCTCAAACGGCCCCCAAGAGGCCATAAGTGGTTTCCACCTTGCCTCTAAGAGAGGGGGGTCGGACGATAGGCGAGGGCCGGACCGCATGCCCACAAGAGCTGTTTTCAACGCTCTGGGGCCCTTCCATGTTTGTCTTTTGGGGAGCGGTCCAGAGCGCCCCGGAGCGCTCCAGGAGCCCTTCGGGCGCTCCAGGACCCTTGGAGGCTCTCCAGATGGCGCCATGAGGGCCCCTCACGGCGCCATGAGGGCCCCAGACGGTCCTTGCACGCTCCAGGAAGCCCACAGAGCGTCCACGAGGCCCCTCAAATGGGCACGACACGACCCAATCGAGCGCCAAGGCGCTCCGAGAGGCCTCCAAAAGGCCTCACAAGAGGGTCCCGAGAGGTCAAAATCGTTTGTTGCCCCGCTTGCCGCCCAATTCAGCTCTCGGACACTCGAAGCAGCCCTGGAAGACTTCAAGGCCACCCCAAAAGGACCCAAAACGCCCCCAGGAGGCTCCCAGGAGGGCCCCAAGACGGGCCAAGACCGCCCCAGCACGGCCCAAGGCGCGCTGCAGACGGCCCAAGACGGCTCCGAGACGGCTCCACGAGGGTGCGAACACGGCCCCAGACGGGCCCAGGACGGCCCAAGGCACGCTCAATTCGGCCCAAGACGACTCCAAGACGGTCCCAGAAGGGTACCAACACGGCCACAGATGGGCCCAGGACGGCCCAAGGAGGCGCCCAGTCGGGGCCTCAAGACGGGCCAAGATGGCAAGAGAGCCCCAGCTGGCAAAAATCGTTGATTTTCCATTGTTTATTGTTACAGCCTTTGCGTTTCCCGCCATTTCGGCGGTCGGATGCCCCAAGAGATCCCAGAAAGTCCCAGGAGTGTCCGAGGAAACGCCCAGGAAGGCCCCAAGACGGGCCAAGACGGCCCCAGCACAACCCAAGACGCGCTGCGACGGCTCAAGACGGCTCCAAGACAGCTCCAAGAGGGTGCCAACGCGGCCCCTGCTGGGCCCAGGACGGTCCAAGGAGGCGCACAGGAGGGGCCCAAGACGACTCGAAGGCGGCCCCCTCGCGGCCTCAGACGGCTCCAAGAGCCCCAAGATAGTGCCAACAAGGACCCCGATGGGCCCAGGACGGCCAACGGACGCGCCCACAAGGGGCCCACGACGAACCAAGACGACCCCATCACGGCAAACGGCGCCCTCCAGACGGGCCCAGACGGCTCCAAGACGGCCCTTTGAGGGAGCCAGCACGGCCTCACACCCTTCGGGCGAACACTTGGGGGGGCTGGGAGCTTGCAACAAGTCTCCCACACTCCTTGTCCTGCCCCATTCTGTTCGCCTGGAGGCCTCCTCCAACCCTGTGGGCGAACAAGAGGAAACCCAGCGGGCCGCCAACCCGGGGGCCCGTGGGCCCCGCGCCGCTTGGGCAGACGACGACCGCCGGGTCTGACAGGCCAGCTACCGCCCCCCGTTGCCCGATATGCCGTGCCATTCTGTTCCCCCAGGGGCCTTGGCAAACTCTTTGGGCCAACCAGACCGGACCCCTGGGACATTGATGTGACTCAGGCAACTCTCCGCACTGAGACTCTTCGGACCACAGAACGTCTGGGCGAGCAGAATGGGACTTGGCGAACAAACCGTCCCGTTGGCGGCGATGCGACTGGATCGCACCATCAAGGCGTGCCCGGAGGTGATGGCCGGCCCAACAGCGGTTTCTGTTATGAGTTTACCGAATTTCAAATTTTCTTCAAGCTCTCTTGGGCCCTCCCTGTAGATCCTTGCGCTTCTCGGCGCTTTCGGTGGTCTTCCCCGATGGCCTCCCGAGCCCTTTCCCAGGCGCTCCTCAGACGCCTCAGATGAGCTTCGACTTCGATGCACATCCCCGAGAGACTTCGAAGCTGCCCTCAATAGGGGGGGTGAACGAGCAGTGCGCCGGGGCCAAGCTGCTGGAGCGCTGCAAGAGCTCGGACACGAAGGCGCGGTCTCGCTGCCGCCGCCCGAGCCACCGCCGGGTTTGTAGATTTTCGGTGCAATCTGCGCCGCTCCTCCGAGAACCATTCCAGAAAGATGTCGTGGACGGAGTTCACGGGTCAGCCCTAGTCAGCTACAATGCTGGGGTTAGCGCGTGCGAGAAGGGCAAGCAGTGGCAGCGGGCTTTGGCGCTGCTCAGCGAGATGCGGGAGGTGAAGCTGGAACCCTGCATCATCAGCTATAGCGCAGGGATGAGCGCGTGCGAGAAGGGCGAGCAGTGGCAGCGGGCTTTGGCGCTGCTCAGCGAGATGGGGGAGGCGAAGCTGGAACCCGACGCCATGTGTACTACAATTCTGGTCGCGGCACGTGCGAAAATGGCCAGCGGAACGACCCGCTCCAGAGCGCCACGGACCGCCCGAAGCGCCTGGAGCGCCCCCCGGGACGCTCTCCGACGGGCTCAGAGGCTCGCCAGACGGCCCCGAGACGCCTAGACAGCCCCTAAGACAGCGCCAGGATGGCCCAAGAAGACCCGAAGCAAGCCACATGGCGGTCCAGGAGGGCCCGAAGACTCGCCAGGAGGCTCCACAGACGTCTCACGAGGATCCCGGTGCCCCACGAGGCGAAACTTCTCTCCCAAACTTTCTGTTCCCGAAGGTTTTCCACACTTTCCTCATAGCGGGCCCAGACTGGCCCAGTTCGCCCCAAGATGGCCCAAGGGGCCCTCACGGGCCCACCAAGGCGGCCCAAAAGGGCTCCAAGATGGCCCAGAACAGGCCCCGGAGAGCCTGGCAAAGCCCCAAGGGGCCCTCCAAGACCGCCCCAAGCGGGCCCTTAGAGCTGCCCCAAAGGGCCCAAACTGACCTCCCAGACGGCCCTGGAGCCCCGCAGTGGCCCCCAAGACGGCCCAAGAGGCTCCCGAGACAGCCCAATAGGGCCTTCAGGGACCCCGATGGCGGCCCGACGAGGCCAGAAATCAAGCGAAAGCCTGATAGTATTCATTGTTTGCCACGCTGTCCCCATGCCGGGCTCAGAACGGCCCCACGCGGCTTCAGGCACCTCTACGATGGCCCCAAGATATATCAAGAGGCCCTGACAAGCGCACCAAGACGGCTTCGGAGGCAGGCCCAAGGCAGGCCCCAGGCGGCCTGATAGGGCCCCAGGCAGGCCCCAGGCGGCTTGATAGAGCCTCAGGTGGCCCCCCGAAGACGCCTCAGGAGCTGCCCAAGAGGGCAAACACCGTGCTCCCAGACGGCCCCAGAGGGCCCAAGATGGCCCTGAGATGGCCCAGGAGGGGTCCACGATCTGGTCAAGAAGGACTACTCCGAGGTGCTCTGGAGCCTCCTAAGCGACTCCGACAGTTGCCAAGGAGCACCCAAGAGAGCCTCCAGCCCCAGCACCTTTCGCCGTGTCTGGATTCTCAGACGGCCCACGAAGGCCCCGAGAGCTGTCCAAGAATGACCGCTCCGAGATGCTCTACAGCCTCACAAAAAGACTCCGACAGTTGCTACGGAGCTCCACGAGAGCCTCCAGCCCCAGCACCTTTTGCCTTCTCTGAATTCTCAGAAGCCCTATAGAAAGTCTCAGTCTCCACAATGGTCCCCGACCACTCCAAGATGCCCCGCGGCCCCCCAAAAGACTCCGCTAGTTGCCAAGGAGTCCCCTTACGCCCCGCCACCTTTTGCCGTTTCTGGATCACCCAAAGTCCCAAAGAACACCCCGAGCACCAAACAATGCCCCAAAAGGCCCTCTCCCTGATCTTCTCTCTTCTCCTCCTCCTCCTCCTCCTTCTCCTCCTCCTCCTCCTCTTCCTCCTCCTCCTCCTCCTCCTCCTCCTCCTCCTCCTCGTTTCTCTCTTCCTCCTCTGTGGTGTCTCTATGCCTTCTCTCCGGTGCCGCTGTCCTCCTTCTGCTCGCCTTCATTTCCCTCACCCTCTCCTCTTCTCCCCCCTGCACGCATCAGCAAGCCTCGCCCTCCCCCCCACGGTCAATGGGGGTTGCAGGGGAGACCTCCACGACAGTAGCGCTAAAGAAAGCCTCAGGCCGCTCTCTTCTTCTCCTCCTCCGCCTCCTCCTCTTCTGCCTTTGGGAGCCTCCACCCCCTATCTCTCGTGCCGCTTTCTCTCTCTCTCTCTCTCCTTCTTTTGTTTGCGTCGGCGACACTTCGACCTGCCTGCCGCGAGTTTCCACGGGTACGCACAAGTCAGCTACAGCGCAGGGATGAGCGCGTGCGAGAAGGGCCAGCAGTGGCAGCGGGCGTTGGCGCTGCTCCGCGGGATGCGGGAGGCGAAGCTGGAGCCCCACGTCATTAGCTATAGCGCTCTGATCAGCGCGTGCGAGAAGGGCGACTAGAGGCCGCGGGTTTTGGCGCTGCATAGCGGGATGCAGGAGGCGAAGCTGGGGCCAACGCCATCTTCTCTCCTACATGGTTGGGGGAAGCGCGTGCGGGAAGGGAAACGGATCAAGTGTCCAACATCGGCCTCGGCGGGCCCCTGGCGCGGCTTCGGCGGGCCCCTGGCGCCCCTGGCGCGGCCCGGCGTGGCTCCAGGCGGCTCGAGCACGTTTGGGGACGCCTTCAAGGAGCGCCGAGATCGGGCCAAGAACCCCAACATGGCCCCGGGAAGGCCCCGGAGGCCGTCCAGACGGCTCGCGGCGGCCACACGTCGCTGATTCTTCTAAGGTCGTTGCCTGATTTTCAGGTTCTCGCCATTTCGAGCTCAGACAGGCCCAAGGCGGCTCCTGGCCTCCCACGAATTCTCCAAGGCTCAAGAGGCTCAGGCAAGGGCCCCAAGACCGCTCAGGAAAGCTCCAAGATGGCTCCCCGAGGAGCCCAAAACGGCCCAAGAGCGAGCCAAAGCGGCGCGAGACAGCCCCCCGGAGCTCCCAGGCATGCCCCAAGAGCCGCCCAATAGGGCTCACAGAGAGCTCCGAGACGGCCCACCACCTCCAATATGGCCCCCACGGCCCCAGAGGCCGTCCAGACAGGCCGCGGCAAATGAAGTCATTGATTTTCGTATGGCCATTGAGAGATTTCCACCTTCTCGCCATTTCGAGCCAAGACCGGCTCAAGACGGCTGCTGGGGCTCCCCCGAACGCTCCAAGGTTGTGAAAGAGGATCCGGAAAAGGCCCCACAACCACCAAGAAGGGGTCCAAGATGGCCCAGGATGCGCCCAACATGGCCGAAGAGGCCCCAAGGCGGCCCGAGAGCCAGTCGAGACAGCCCCAAGACGGCCCACGAGGCGCCCAAGGCGGCCCCAGAGGCCCCCAGCAGGCCGAAAAGACCCTCAAGAAGGCCCCGAACGGCTTGCAGGAGGCCCCCAGAAGAGGCTCCAAAGCTGCTTTCAAGATGCGGGAAGCGTACGAGAGGCGAGAGGCTCATCGCACGCCCGAAGGAGTTTCTACTCTCCGAGGGCCCTGGCAAGCACGAGCAACTCGCAGGACATGCAAGCAACCTTCAAGCAGGCATCACGCAAACGGCAGGACTGTGCAGGCTGAACAAATCACGTGCGCACTGGTAATGAAACGGCAGCAAGCAACCGAGAGCAACAAGCGACAGCAGACACACGCTGACATTCTCGAGTCAGCCCTCGACACTCTGCAACCCTCTAAGATGGTCCCAAGACGCCCCATAAGGCTTCCAAGACGGCCCCAAGACGCCCCAAGCTGGCCCCAGGACGGCCCCAGCGACGCTCAGACGGCCTCAGAGAAGCTCAAGAGAGGCCCAAGAGCGGCCCAAGGAGTCCAAGACGGTACCAAGACTGACCGATAGGCGCCCGAGGCAGCGCCGGGACAGCCCAAGAGACCCTCCAGAGGCAAACAGAAGCCCCCAGAGGCTGGATGCTTGTGCTCCTGGAAGTGTCGTCGTAGGAAAGACGATTGGCACGATGGAACATCGAGGGGGGATGATTGTGGAGGGATGGAGGAAGAGGAGGAGGTTCCAGCAGCAGGGAACAGAAGCAACGGCGAGCAGCAGCTGCATCAGCAACACGCGTTGACATTGCCAGCATCCGTTAGCATCCTGCAGCAAGCAGCAGCAGCAGGCAGGCGGCAGTATCCAACACCAGGCAAACTCTAGCACATGCTCCAGCCCGTAGCAAGCAGTTGCCGCAGGCGGTACCAGAAGAACGACCGAATGAAAGGCCGCAAGTGGCAGCAAGCAACACTCAGCAACAGCGAGCGGCTGCAATAGGCACCGGGCAGGTGCAAGCATGCTTGCTCAGACACCGCTCGCCACCTCGAGCAGATGTCGTGAACGTAGTCCACGGGTCAACCCTAGTCTGCTACAATGCTGGGATCAGCGCGTGCGAGAAAGGCAGACGCTGGCATCATGCACTGACTCTGTTGCGTGAGATAAACCAAGCGCGCTTGGAACCCAGCGTCATCAGCTACAACGCTGCCATCATGGCGTGCAGCTCAGGCGACCAGTGGCAGCATGTGCTGGCGCTGCTCAGGGAGGTCTGGACGGCGAGCCTGGAGTTGGGGGTCATCTGCCACGATGTCGGGGTCAGCGCGTGGGAGATGGGCGGGCAGTGGCGGCGCTCGCTGTCGTTGCTCAGGGAGGCGGTGCGGATGCGGCTGGAGCCGAACGTCGAGATCTGCAGCAACGTGGTCGGCGTGTGCGAGCGGAGCGGACACCCGTCTATCCTCGGGGCGGAGGGCGTCGCCTCCGCCCGAGGAGCTCTGGCGAGCGAGGCGCGGGGCGGCCGGAAGCACCCTCAACTCTTCTGTTCTGTCCCGCCCCGCCCTCGAGCGCCGTCTTGGGCAGGTAGGGCCACCAGAGGGGGAGGGGACTGGCAGGGGAGGAGCAGCAGAGCGAGGAGGGGAGTGTGCTCCTGGCCGCTCGAGGCGGGGCTCTGGGGCGCGCCACGCGGGCTGGTCACCTGGCTCGGGAGGGCGGGCCTGTCGGCCGACACGAGCCGGCCAGCGGGCTGACGGCCAGACCGAGTGCTTCGGTTGGGCGGTTTGGCGGTCGGCTGACCGCAGGAAAAAGCTCTGTCCTCCTCCTTGTTGTCCTCGTTGTTTGTTGACGTTGTCTTTTCTCCTGCTCCTCCTCCTCTTCCTCCTCCTCCTCCTCCTCCTGCTCCTCCTCCTCCTCCTCGTGCTCGAGCGGTCTCTGTCCTGTCTGTCTCACCTCATTCCTACCTGTGTTTTTGCAGCCCGCTGCCATTTACAGCCTGCAGCGCTCCGTGCCCGCCTTGGTCTAACCTTGAACATTGTACACTGCGCATTCCGTATGCGCCGCTTTCATTCCGAGCACATTTTTTCCTCACGTCAGCTTGTCTAGTTGGTAGCGGAGCTTCTGCTCCGTTTCCATGGCCGCCGCGTCTCGCCGCGATTCGATGGCACCTGCCCCAACCCTCAGCCGCTCTTCATCCAGCTGCTCGTCCCGCTAGATATCCGCCGTCATCCTTCGTATACCTCTTCCCGTTCACCATGGCAGGAGACGTCACTTTAGGGTCCGTCGGGGCATTTGCCCATCCGCCATGACCAATGACGGGGAAGTTGCGAATTTATTTCGACCAGGATATCTACGAGACCTACAAGGACAGTGGTTGCGCAGCCCGCGCTGCAGTTCTTAGCGATCCGCACCCGGCTTGCACTGACTGTGTCAGCGCAGGTCGCGGCCCTGCGCCTGCAGGGCGCTGGCCCCTTGCGCGGCGGACAGCCGACTCCCGCACCATCGGCGCCGCGGCCAGCAGCGCCGCCAGCCATTCATTCCAATTGCCTCGCCATGCGGATCCTACCAACAAGTCAGGCCACAGACCTTGGTCAAGATGGTCGGTGCATCAGCCTCCTCTTCATCCTCCCCCAACCCTCGCGACGCCGAGCTACGACGACTGCGATGAGGAATGGCGAAACTCGTGAGCTGTGTGCAAGACTTTTTGTCGTCGGCGGGCCCCTTGACAGCGTCGCCAGCCCGTTCGGAGGCAGTGGGGGAAGCAGGGCCGGCCGCGGCGGCCCTGGGGGCAGCATCAGCACCGGCAGCTCCAGCAGCTTCAACAGCACCGCCACAACCATCGCCGCAACGGTGGGCGCGACTGGGCGGTGCGTTCCCGCTGGGGCAAGCTCGGGGGCGCGACTGGGTGGGCGACCTCAAAGCGCGAGTCGCCGTGCCTCCCGCCCCGCCTGCCGACGCGCAGTTGCCGAGCCGGGCATGCATGCCTTCATTCTCCGCCCTCAGCACCAGCGCCCCGTGCGAATCGAGCTCCACGTGGCCGCCGCAGTCTGCGCTGGTAGTCGCGCCGCCGCCAGTGCCGGAGTCTCCCCTGGAGCTGGCTCGGTTTAACCGGCGCAGACCCGTCGACATGAGTTTACCGTATGGGAGAATGGCCAGGTGGTTCGCCAGCCGCGAGACCTGGATGGCCAGCGGCGGCCGATCCGAGCACGGCTCGGGCACCGCCCCCGACCGCGCGCAGCGACGACACCTCGACGAGCTCCTGCGGTTGAGCTCATGCGGCAGCAGGACGAGCAGCGACGGCAGGCCGCGCAGAGTTGGACAGACAACCGAGCCTCCCTCAGTTGCAATTGTTAGCGGCGATCTTAGGGAGCGCCCCATCTGCTTCGAGGCCTTCCAGCACGGCGAGAGGGTGGTGCGCCTGCCTGAGTGCCGCCGCATCTTGCCGGCGCTCTGTCTGGCTGGACGGCGTCGCCATAAGTCCGCCTATTGGGTCTTCCCAGCCCAGGGGCCTGGGGGCCGCGGGCCGTCCGCGCCGCCTTGAGGCCCCTTGAAACAGGGTTGCTCGAGGGGTGCGCTCCCTGGGGAGTGTCGTGGGAACTAAGTCCTTGGGCCGTGGTGTAACTGCAGCCTAGGGCCGGCGGTCAAGTGGGCGCGGCGCGGGCGGCTGTGCTTAGGGGGTGGCATCATTGGGCGCCTCGCAGCGGGCAGGATGTGCATTGTTGGCCATTGTGGCCTGAGGTCCGACTGCGCGCAAATTCACGCGGGCATCTTGGGCACCCTCCCTCAGGAGGTGGGCCCCGCAGACATGATCGCCGATGTCCCATGTAATGCTGATCGTTCACCGGCCAGGTCCAGTGCTTGCCGCGCAGGCCGACGTTTCCGCGGTGGCTGACCCCGTCGGGCACAGGCTCGAGCGCATCGAACGAGTCGCCGTGGTACCTGGCGAGCGCCGATCTACCAGGTGGTCGGCTATGCGTCATAGTCGACACTGGCGCCCAGGCGGCCCTCTGGGGACTTCGCTTCGCCATGAATTTGGCTCGCGTGGCCCAGCCCGCGAGGCTGCGGCCCTCCGAGGAGAAGTTTCAGCCCCGATGTGCGTGGCAGGATTTGGCAGCGGGTCACAGGTAGCGCACGGCGAGGAACATTGCCCTATCCCGACGATTTCCCCCGGGAGCGCGGCCAGTTAGCGCTGCGTGCGCGCTCCGGCCGTGGAGGGCGCAGGCGCTGACCTCCCTGCCTTCTGATGTCTGCAATCCAGGCAGTCCCGCGGCGGGGCGGTGGAGACGGGCTTTGACCGCGAGCGCCTCTCTGTCTTTGGGCCTGGCGGCAACGAGATCACGCGGGGCCTGGGGGCCACCCACCTCGATCTCGAGTCTGCGCCGAGCGGCCACTTGCGCATCCATTTCGACGACTTCGGTGACCATCAGCCGCAGTCTGGCGACCTCCCATGCAGTTCGCGCTGCCGGCGGTGGGCCGCGACGGCCAGGGTGGCCGCGCCGCCGACGGCTGCGAGTGCATGAAGCTGAAGATCCTCATCAGCCCCGACGAACGGGCACCGTCGCGGGGTGCGCCCGAGGCAGCAGGTTACGCCCATGACGGTTGCGCGGGCGCCAGTATTGCGACCTGTGTTCGCGAGCAGGTGTCGACCTGCGCGGCGGCCCTTGCAGTGCCGGGCACTCACCCTCGCGTTGCCCCTCGCCCTGGAGTCGCCCACGAGGGGGTCGATCTCGCGGGCCGCGTGGCGGGTGCCGACTTGCGCGGCGAGATCGCTTGGCCTCGCCGAACGCCGGTCCGCGGGCGTACGTGGTCGAGCCGGGCCGTCGGGTCGCCCGGCGCGTCCTGGAGCGCATCGTCAACGATGTCGAATTCGTGGTCTTTCCCAACATTCCTCCGTCGTCGCGTGGATCTGCAGGTTTTGGACGCGCTAGCATGACGTTCCTTAGGCTCCGCCGCGAGAGAGGGGGGCAGCGCGACGTCCGCGGGGCCCATCGGTGCCGGCGGCGCCGAAGGTTCCAAGGGGCTGCCTCGCCTGGAGACGGCCGGGCGGGCCGGACAGGCTGGCCCCGCCGAACTGCCCTGGCAGAAGTGGGCAGCATAATCGGGGCGTCCCACTTGGGTCCTGGAACGAGGACGGGACGCATCACTAGTACTTCAAGATCGCGGTTTCAACGTCATCAGCACCTTCGACTTCGAGGGCGCCTGCAAGTCGTTGTCGGACAGCGCGCTCCATGGCGCCAGCTACATCATTAATTGGATTGCGTTGGGCGCGACTAGGTGTGAAATCCACTTCGTCCTCGACTCCCTTCCTTGCTGGTGCGCCAGGGTCAAGGACGCCGTCGCTAGGATTGTGGCCTTCGGCCGGCATGGTCAGAGACGACCGTCAGCGCGGCGGGCGATCGACGCCCGCGTGCTCCACCCGAGCACGCATCGGGCTTGTTTTAGCCTTAAGTCCCAGCGGCCAAACACAGCAGCGTTGTCTTCATGGTGCTCACCGGGGCGCCCATCTGCAACCGGCTGTGCTGGTGCAACATCGAGCTTGAGGAGCGCGTCGACGATTGGGCGACCACCAACCGACGAATGCATTTGGCCTTGATGCGCCGCGAAGTGTTGCGACTTGCAACAGACTGTAGCTGCGTTTCAACAAGCGCAGGCGCGTGCCAGAAATAACGCCTTCAACGAGGCACGACGGCAGTTTGCCCGCCAGATTCGAACGCCACTTCCAGTCCCGCGGCAAAACGCAAGCGCGACATTAATCGGCACGCCCAGGACCGCGCGTACTCAAGCACTTCAAAACCTAGGACCGCAGGCACGAGAAACCACGCGAGGTGCCCGGTGACTGCGTCGCCAGCGCCTATCCAACGGTTGAGCGCATAAGCCAGAAGGCGAAGACACAGGGGGGCTATGCGCCCAAGGCGCACAAGCAGACCGTCGAGGACCAATGCGATGGCCGTGGCTCTGACAGCAGGTCTGGCCTTCCATCTTCTTTGTTTCCAGCACGTGGCGGCCTCGGGCACGACAGCGAGTGCGACGAGAACGACCACCGTGGCAGCCTTAGTGCAAGCTTGCCCGTGCGGTGGCTCCGAGGGTCGCTAGCGTTAAGTTTCCACGTTCTCGGGTTTTTTGTCTCCCAAACACCATGGTCGAGCTCGACGACCAAATTTGTGGATTGATGGTATCCCAAACACCTTAAACTGCCGAGTTCGACGCCCATCAAGCGGACTGATAGTTTCCCGAACACCGCAGGCAACCGAGTTCGACGCCGTCCACCAGATCCCTACCTACCGCACATCAGTCGACAACGGCGCCAATTCTATGGAGGTTTGCGGTGGAGGGGCGCGGATGTGCAGACTGGCTATCCGCCGCCGTGTTAGCGCTGGCGAGAACGTGAGTTGTGACCTCAACGACGTGAGCCAGCAGCGAGCCGTAGAACGATATGTTCGACAATGGCCCCGGCCTTCCGACCGTTTTGGCCGTTGGGCAACCTTCGAGCGGGGTTGCCGCGCTTGGCTGCGTTTCTACGGGGATGCGACCCCCCGTGGCCGATGTCGCGGTTATCTTGCACAGCTGCAGCTCGAGTTAAGTGGCTACTTCGTCGCGGAGCAGTCCGAGCCACCATGGCTGTGCGACGGGCCGCCGTGGCCGCGGGTGCTGGCGGTGCTGGGTGTGGACGGCCATTTTCGACCAACGTCTGCTTGGGCTTCGAGATCGTCGCGGCGGTATCCTGGGGAAGACCGCCAGGCTGGCCTCCGACGCA